TCCCCGCCAGCACCGCGACTTTCGACATCAGCGACACCGAGGATGACGACGATGACGTCGATGTCGATGAGTGTACCTCACCAAAGTGTTCATCAGTTGGTAGGACTGAGCTCAAAACGGGTTCTTTTGAACGACCGGTGAGAGTTATTGTGATACTCACGAAGAGTTTTTCACTTTACAGCAAGCATATATATAATGATTTTGTTTATGCTTATTGTTTTTGTAGTCCTGTGAGTCCATCAGACGTGTTCTGTTCGAAGTGGTAGTCAGGTATTCGAATAATCTGGACTTATGCGGAATGCACAATGTGTTCTATCCAGACCACCGCTGGGAATACCATCCATAATAGAGAAATTTACATTTGCATGAAAAACAAATTTTTTTCTCCTCACAACAGACCAAAATTTTGATGAGGCAAAACCTGATTGTCTTGTTTTGCTGACAAAACATGGTTGTTTTGACCAGTGTTTTCATCATTTAATTGGCTTCTAGGAGTTTTACCTCGTACTAATCCATTGCTGGACTAGGGTCAAATTGCAAAGCGTTTGAATTGCGAGACAATGTCAAATCACTCAAATGGAATGTTTTTTTTACGTGTCATTTGATGTTTCATGTCTCTCCACAGATAAAATTGCAGGGCAGAGGTCAAATTAAGAGTTGACCTCCCAGCAAATTTGACTATTTATTGGATTGTGGGATGGCGGGAGGTCAAATTGCAATATAGAAAAAATATTTATAAACTTGCTAAAGTATACACTTGATACCATGTCTAAAAATTGTATCTGCCAAGACAATGAGTCCAAATAAAGAGACAAACTGAAATTGGTAAAACTGCAATTAAAAAAAAAAAAGAAACCAATATTCTGAGGATTCTAATTAAGACTCGTATAAAGAGTTCTGGAAGATTTCCATTTTTTATGTTAAGCATATCAGTTCCAATTCTTGAAAATAAAGGAATCAGTTCTCAACCAAATCAAGATTGCATTAAAAGGCTTAATTTACTTGAAAAATGACGACGGGTTCACATCTAATCAAGGAACTGCTTGGGACATTTTTCAAAAGTTGAGAACGTATTCTAGATTTTTTTTAAATCTTCAAAATTATATTTATATCCGTACGGGCATTTTTACGCATAAATGGGTTTCCTCCGTCTTTATTAAAATATGCTGGAGTAAAGAAAATTCGAAGCACGTACAGCAGGTCTCGGATTCAAAATACTGACACTTGAATTTAGTTTCATATTCAGCTCAGTTCATGCGTAGACTTTTTAAAAGTTTTAAATATGGTCCCCGATGTGTGACAAACTCACCAACTTTTACTATGAAAATTAGAATTGTTGATGAAGTCATAACTATTCTGTTGTTGTGGAAAGTTTTCCATATGTGAGTACATTATTGAAATAGATCAAATAAATATAATGTTCTTCCATAAATTAACTTTCAAGTCAATCGATATTCTAAGGAAATTTTCGCACTTGAATCGCTTCAGCATTACCTAAGATTCAAAATGCAAGGAAAAAATCTGGTACAAGATTTTCTGATTAATTTAATTGAAAGCGCAGACTTCGTAGAGGTTTCATATTTCATCTGCAATAGGTCATAAATTGACCTCGATTTAAATCATTCGTTTTTCAGCACGTCGTTCAGCCGGCACATAGCAATAAAGCCTATGATGATGCAGATGAGCACTCGGATCACAGCTCGAACGGGGAACCAGGAAAAGCTGAATATTTCAGGTAACTTTCGCTTAGAAATCCTTCGTATTTTTTTAATATCATTCATGAAATTGATCATTCGTTTCACTTTCAGATCGTCTTTCATCGCTGAACGCCAACAATGCAAAGATTACAAACCAGCAGCTGCTTGGAAACGTGTTTCTGGAATGACACAATGGTGCAGAAATAATTGCGAAGCAGGATTCTGTCCAGAGTCTCACTGTATTTGCTTGAAGTGATTCGCTGATTTGAAAAACGTTTGATTGAATTCAGTTTTGCTTTTTTCCCCGTTCGGTTTTCTTTTGCAACGATGCGATCCGTCATCATATGGTCGAGATTTTGTTGATAGCACAAAGAAATTTTCCACTGAAACTGTTTGTAAGCCTATATCATATCTGTCTGCGAATTTAGCTTTATTTGGTTTTTTTTTAAAGAAAATTAGAAAAAGAATATTCATTTCAACGTCAGTTTCGCAATGCTTGCTGTATGCGTGATGCTTTCTGTACATAGATTCGTTGCTCTGGAAAATATTTATTTAAATTTGAGAAAAATGTCCTCGAATTTGAAAAAGGCAGCCACGAGTGAGCAAAAATGTGGCAATATTTCTTCCTCGTTGAAGGAGATTCGCCAACATTTTCTGCAACAATTCGCTTATTGGGCATTGCATGCTTACATAGCTTTACTGAATTTTATTTGCTTTGAACTGCTGTAAAAACAAAACAAAAATTGTATACAGTGGATGACTAAAATTCAAAAAGAAAGGACCTTCATTTCCCTGATTTTTACTCTTCTTTTTTGTGTGATTGCGTGGATGGAAGAGTTTTGTATCTATACAGTATATATATCATCAGAATGAGTTGTACTTTAAATTCTTGGGATAGTGCTCGAAATCGTCAAGATTTATTTGAGCACACCAAGTAGAAAGGAAAAGCGATGAGGACACCTAGTCATGATGTACACACACAAAAAAACTAACAAGCGACAAAATCATTGCGTTGTTTGAAGTTTCATTGTGCATTATGTTGCTTACTAAAAGCAGTTGAATAAACGATTGTTGATTCCATGCGTGAAATTTGTGTTTTTTTTTATTTTGATTTAAGTTCTCTGTAATCCCGTATTTTATTCATGTGCGAATGTCTTGGACAATACAGAGAACGGTTTTATCGCGAAGAACTGTCCCTCGATACAGTAAAACAAATATGAGGGATCAAGAAAACAATTTTTGTAGAAAAAATTTTTTTGCCAAAAAAAATCCAGAACTTAAAAAAGGTGTGGTACTCTTAAAATTCTGTGAAACACTCTCTCTAAAATCATGAAGGTCCAAGTAGTTAACTGATAACATCATGATATGATTTCTCATCAAAGATTCTCTTCAAAATTTGAAATCAAATAAATCTTAACTGGGAGCAGGCTGAACAGCACCTTGTGCTTCAATTTGGGTTCAGTAATTTCATCATGCTGAACTTTTCATCACTGAATTGTTCTGTTTGCTATTGGGGAAGGGAAGAAAGCGTATGCATCCGCATCAGTTGTGCAATTGAACGTTTTGAAATGGGTCTTCTTTTTGTTCAATATTTATGTACAGCTCATTTCTCTATTTTCCATCCTGCTGTGATTGAATGTTTTTGGATGCATGTGGGTGGGAAGGGAAAGGGGTTGGATGTGGGAACATTTCTTGAACCTAAGAATACAGAAAAGTGGAAGAAAAGGTTGCTGATCAATCAATCAATAAAAAAAAACCTGTAAGATGGAAAGGGGACCCTATCCATGGGACCAAACAAAAATTCATTGAACTGTAAAGAGAAAATTGTTGCAGACAATGTTGTTTTATAGAGAAAGGTCACCTGTATTAAATAAAAATCTATCTAACGTGAATGATATTGAAAATACTGCAAATTGCTTGGTAATAAAGTGTATTTTCCTGAGTTTCTTACTCATCACATTCTATTTTCACTCATTAATACAAGAGATATCCCAAAGTTATTGAAATAAAGACCAAAACTCAACTCTGAATTTAAGTCAGTAGTCAAAACAAAAATTGCAGATGCGTTTTGTATAAATCCTTGAGCAAATCATTTAAAATGTATTTACAACCATTTGGAGCCATATCTTGAAGTTGAGCAGAACCATTTTCTTCTGGTACAGGAGATTTGCAATTCAACCTCTTGCAATGTAACCATCCTGCAATTTGACAGTCCAATTTTTAGGGAGGTTGACTTGCAATTCAACTCCTGTCCCGCAATTCAACCTGCATTGGCCCATTTTTTTCACATTTTTGTACTGATATATTTTAATTTAAAAAAGTGTTCCAATTTGACTAATTTGGAATTTGATCATAGTTTGGCAGCAGATTATAGGATCAAATTGGGAGGTACCACCTGTACTCTCTGCAATGATGTATTTTTTCATTGAAACATGCTGCAGTTCAGTTAAAAGTCCTGATCAGCCACTCGTTAATAAAGATCTCCAGAAATTTATAAAAATCTTAAAGCGTGATAACATATGACACATGCAATAGGAATAATGATAACTTTTTTATGAAGCAAATTAAAACCATGTATTTGAAGGAGGAGTTCAAAAGAATGAGTTAACGCATTTACCAAAACGGTTATTTTTTCCATGCTTGGATAACCTTAGATGATTGACCTTCAACGATATATCAAGAAAAATCGCACTTACGACAAGAAGCGGGAAAAAGGAAGAAAAGCTTTAAAAAATATGTCTATCGACGGCCAAAATTTCTAAAAACTCTGCTCGTCCTTTCCTCCTTTGGACTCGAAAATGTCAGAGAGTTGGAATAAGCGCGACGTGGGTCCCGGTTCTTCGAGGTTTTTTCAAAAGCCACCCAGCTTTGGCTCCGGGTTCGAATTTGACCTCAGTTTTCCTCTCGAGAAACCCGCGATTAAGATCATTGATGAAACGAAGCAAGGACATGTTGTTGATTCCGAAAACTTGGCGAAGAGTGACCCTTCAAAGTTGGCAGTTCAATTCGAGACAGAAATTCAGGAAATTCATGTGGAGGAACCCGGAAGTACAACTGAACTCCTTCAGCAGAAAGTACCCGCGGAATTTGTCAATACGTTTTCACAACACAAACAGCACAAGATACTCAATTACAAAGACTTCATGCCTCTACCAAGGAATCAACATCCTCCTGAAACACTCATCAGGTAAAAGTTGAGAGAGACCTCGAACAATATCAGCAAAAATGCATGTTGATATATTTTTGAAAAACATAATCAGAGCGGGGACGGGATCAAGCATCAGAAAAAAATTAACTGATTGTGAAAAGCGATATGACATGAATGTCTTAACATGAATGTCGATTTGACTTTGAATAAAACATCGAATACCTGTAATAATTTATAACGATTACATTTCCCATCGTGACTCAACCTGTACGCGCCTGGAATCATGCACCAGCGACATCTATGATTATATCAAACAACTACGGGGGGTTGATCATCGAATTCGCGACAAAAATTTTATTTTATTTCCCTTTATTATTGAGTAAGTGGAGTATATTTACGTTTTGAACGCATAAATGTAGACGAGAACGGTTTCCAGACCTGGTCATTCGGGCGAACAAGTGGTTGATGGAAAACAAAGAATATTCCGCCGCCTTCTGCCAAACTATTTCACATTTTGAGCTGCCGAAACACAAGAAACACAAGCACAAATCGGACTCAACCATTGTGAAGATTGGCAACAGTTTCGGTCACACCCATGGACTGCGAATTTGGCTCAAGAAGAATGAGTCTGGGTTCCCGCAACGACTCCAATATTTCGACACTGTTCCGAGGGCTTATGAAAGCTTCGCAAGTTTGTTTTGCTTATTTTCCTATGACTAATGAATGATGCTTACACATAAGTTATATTCTTGAGAGAGAACTCGAACTTATTATGCATAGGGTATGTAAAGAAAACGAAATTTTCCTTGAATGAACACCGTGGGACTGCTCCGGGTATTGTGCGGATATTCAAAATTCCACATTTTCATCTCTATTTATATGCGTTTTGATTTTGATTTCCTGTTTAAGCTCGGAATCAAACCAGAAAGGATGTCCAATTTATTTTTATAAAATACTGTGAGAAATAATCAAGTGAATGAAACTCTGAATCGCGTCTCATTCTGGATTTCGATTTTTAAAATTTATCAACCCGGTTATTTTTCAGGTTTAGTTCGACAGAACATGTGGGATGGCACAATTTTTAAATTGAATAAAAACGGAAAAATCAGTGATCATGCTTCATATAAATATTTGGTTTCGTAATTCAGTCGGCACATTTTTTTAGAAATCGCTTTAAGACCTCAAATCGTTCGACCTGATCAATTCAACAGATTTTTCCACCATTCTCAGAAATGTGAGATCATTAGGAAGCCTCATTATTTTCTTTTCCCCGCAAATCGCTGAAAAGATTTGATCAGAATCAATGATGACCGTCCATTTTTCCGCTAAAAATATTTCCTTTTTAAATGAATGTGTTTCGCAAAATTACGATGAACATCAATATATTATTGGCGTTTCATGTGGATGGAGTGTAAAAAAAAACCCCATTTACAGTATTGCAGAGGAACGAAGAAATCTTGCCTCCTGAAAGAAAATATGATTCAGAATACAGTACCAATTCTGAGATCCTCAGTCTCTTTTTTTTGCCCATTTTGAACACAACTTGACGCCATTTTGCCAGATTAAATTGACTCGCTCAGTCTTCCAATTATTGTACTGCTGAACATAGGTCACAGCAAGCAGAGAGGAGTACAAACCTACGAGAGCATCGATCGGGTCGTTGAAAGAATCAATGACGTGCTGCGAATCACGTCTTTGCCCGGAAGAATCATCACTGCAGAAACAGTGACCACTCCTCATCCCGATGACCCAGAACTGTGCCATTTTTGGGAGCGCAAAGACATACAAGACACGCAATATGTGCATTTTCTCAGGTTCGTGGGATCATTAGCGCACATCATGGGGGTAAATTATTTTTACAACAGCTCACTCGAAAGCAGTGTTTTTTTTACTTCTTCTTTACAAAAATGCGTCAAACCTGACAGAGAAACCATGGAACCCACATTTAAACCCTCGAAGTAATTGTCCGCTGTTATTATTGAAATACAAGGCTTCCTTTTTGCATGTAAAAAAAATTACGAATTTGTCGAAGATGCTTTTGGTGATGCTTCGTCCTAGCTATATAAACAAGCCGCAACAACAACGATTACAATTTTCGCGGTTTAAACTTCAATTATATTCTAACACGTGGCTCAGGGGAAAATGAGGTCAATTAGATCAGGTCAGAAGCAGCAGTGAGTTACTTCTAGAACCATTCAAACCGGAAAAAAAGAAAACCTCGTGAAAGTTGTAAATAAATTTTCGCTGTTATTCTTAAGAGACAAGGCTTTATCTTAGCCTTGCAAAAAAATACACGAATGCTGAAGAAGCTTTTGGTGATTCCTCCTCCTCACTATGTATAGCCACAATCAATACTAAGAGAGATGCAATTTTTCGCGATCCAAAGTTGTAATCTATTCTGACGTTTGATGCAGTGGAATATTCCAAACATAGATTTTTATGTATGCAGATAGAATTGAAGACAAGAAAAAACCGGAAGAAAATCTACAGCTTCACTTATTTGAGCATTACTTACCACTTATAACTACTGTATTTTCACATTTGCATAATATCTTTCTGAAATCATAGAACAATAAACTTCAGAATGAGCCAGAAAATTTCTCAAGTCCAGCATTTACTGTGCATCATAAGGTATTCATAACACACAAGTTCTAAACAGAGGCTTATTAAATTTGCTGAAGTCTCAATAATAAAATGAAGGTTGTACATTGTTGGAGGAGCTGATGAAGGACAGTGAGACCTAAAGATGCAGATTTAATTGGTGCATCAAGAGTGTCCCAAAGCCAAAATGTCCCTACATTGAGTCTCATTTTCCCGGATACTTCCGCATTAGATAATTTTGAATTGGTGTTTTATGCAAGAAGTATTCATCAGAATTCCACAAAAAAATTTGTCTGCCAAAAATTGATATTGCTTCAATCATGTCTTTCAACTCAAGCAGGACATTTGGAGCATTGATTACTGTAATGTTGGCATTCTCTGTAAAAATAACATTCGAGTCAAAAATAGAGAAGGAAGTGCCTCTATGCTGGAGGTAATTTTTTACAATTAGCTAAATGGATGGCAAAATGATGAGAGAAATGCCAACAAACTTTTTCCCACATAGATTTCAAGGTTTGAAATATCTGTTTCTTGTAATTTGGCCAAAAGCTTATGTGCAGTTTTAGCATGCAGTGTCTGCATATTGGGCCTTTCTAATTCATTTTTATAGGAAAATAAGCACCACATGTCAAGGTGTCCGCATGTGAGGGTCTCAGTGCACAAATGAACAAAATCCAATTTGTCGAACCTTAATTTTTTATTCGACTAATCCTTATTTTTTATTGGACTAATAAACAGGCTGTGATCCATTATTTTTATGAAGCCCTTGATGGCTCCCTAGCCCGGTTTTCTCTCTTATTCCTCATGCGTGATTCTGGTCTCTCTTTCTTCCTAGTAAAAGCCCGAGCTTTGGAAATGGTAGAATAGGGCCCATGCATAATACGCCCATCACGCGCACCTGAGGCCAGCGAGCTGAATAGCCTGCTGTCCTCTCGCGGACTTGTGTGTGTGTATGCATCTTTATTTTTTCGGGCCAGCCAGCGAGTCGTATAACCTGCTGGCTGACCACTGCGTATGTTTAAATCTGGTATGCTGCATTCTGTTCAGCAGCATTCGGGCCCGAGCACTCGCGACTGGTTGTTGTTGTGCGCTGTCAATAAAAGCTTATTGCCTCTCTACGTGAGATCCTGGTAGCTATTTTATTTGGACTAACTAAAAGTCCTTCTGGCCCGCAAAGTACGCGGAAGACATTAATTAAGAAACCAGGATAGAATTTGTTATCTAAAAGAATCGAGGTTGGTAACGAACTTGCTGAGACGTAATAGTAAGTCTTCGTTTAAAACTCACCGATCTTTTAAAATTCTAGGGAATTTGGATAACAGAAATTGGCGCAGTCGTCCGTCTTCTTTTTGTGGGGGGTGAGTTGTTCCACGAGTAAAGCAAGCTAATCTGTGCACGGACTAGATTGTGTTTCTGTAAATTTGTGAGTGCTGTTACTCCTCTGCGGTGTATTTAACTGCCTTGTGTCAACGCGCGTGACAAAGGAAAGTAGAGAGATACAATTAGTGGGTACTAAAAAGTGCAACTAAGAGCAGCATTCTAAATTTTTAAGAAACCTTGTGAAGAGTTCAGTAAAAGTAGCTGATCTAGGGAGGTGATAAACATGTCAGTGCCAGTGACTCAGTTGAGTGAGTGTATTGGACGTGATGCTCCCTCCGCCGGTTGTTACTGATACCCCCACCACCCATAGAAATAGGCTGTTGCGCGAATCCCCCGAGGATCAAGTAGCATATTTGCGTGAATTGGTTTGCCTTCTAGAGGTAGAACGCGATGCGTTGTATCTGGCAAACGAGGTTCAACCTCGCCTGCCAGAAGCAATGCTTATCAATAATAGGCGTAATATAGAACTTTTTGACGAACAAATTCAGGCCTGGAATACGATGGTGGATGCTCTTGTCCCTAACTTAGCTGCTAGAGACGAGAGCACTCTAGCAATCGAAATGGCCCAGTTAACTTTGTTTGCAACCCATCTGAAAGATGAGGTTACCCAACAGCAACGCGAATTAGATGAGATGGTGGGTATCAAGAACAAACTGTTAACAAAAGAATTAACTCTTGACCAGCTAGATCGACCTAGCTCAGACAAAGTGGTGTTCTTTAATATGAAAACGGGCAGCCAAGATGCTCCCAAGGGCAATAAGCAAATTACAAATAGTATTGTCAACCAATTGCCAAATTTCTCTGGCGCTGCCAATGAGAATTGGGCTGATTGGTGGCAAGACATTTGTGTGGCTCTTGTTGGCTGTGACATCACAGATGACAATATGAGAACCATAATTTTGCAAAAGGTTGTTGGAAAAGCCCAGGAGTTTCTTTGCTGCGTTGATGGATTAACGGATGAACATTACCAAGTTTTGGTTAAAGAATTAGAGTTAGCATACGGAGGTAATTTTATGGGAGAAGGCGCGCTAAAACTCCAGACGATTTACCAAGGTGAGTTAGAATCAGTTTTGGATTTCTCCGTTAGGATCAGACGAGTGGGCCAGCAAATGCTTGGTGAGGCCCCCAGTAAAATTAAAGTGTTGAGAGTGGAAGGCCAAGAGCCAAAACTCTGTACAAACCCGTTCCTTAAAATCGAGTTGATTCGATATGACGCCCAAAAGCAGAGTATTGATCAACTTATGGTCTCTCAATTCCTGCAAGGAATGCTACCAAGTCTTTATGATAGACTTGGTGCTATTCCTATCACTATGGCTCAAGCCCTCAAATACGCGACTAACATTGAAAAGTTGAAAGCGCGCCAAAGAGCAAATGAAAATTTCCAAGTGATGTCCACAATTGCTTGCAAACAGCAGCAACATCCAGGCAACAACAATGCCAATCCAACTAGGACATGTTGGAACTGCGGAAAACCGGGTCATTTTAGCAGCAAGTGCTATTCAAAGGGTCAGCCAAGTGGCGCCACTGCTAATACTTTGCAAGGTGTCCCCCAACAATCCCGCGGCTGACGTCTAGTTTTCTTGGTGTCAACCAATGGGCAGGGAAGGCCGATTGGTTTTTCGAGAAATAGTTGCTCTTTGAGTAGGAGCAAAAGTCCAGACTCCAGAGCATCTAGCCCTGGATCCCATTGAGGCAAAGGAAACAAAAATCAGAAAAGGCAACAACAGCAACCGAGACAAGAACAAAGATCCTCATTGCACAGATCCTCAAGACCAAGTCGAGGAGTACATTTTCTCCAGCAGCTAGAAGGGCTGGAAGGAGCTGTCGTCAAAGGATTCAAAGACAAACAGACGGATTCAGGAAACGGCAGCAGACCGGGGTTTCAGTTCTAACAACGAAACTCCCGACACCAATCGCCAAGGCGCCCATCAAGTTTTTAATCGACACTGGATCTGAGGTATTGTTAATTTCCCCTTCTTTCATTTCTTCTGGAATCCCCTTAAAAAGACTAAATATTGCTCTGTCAACAATAGAAGATAGAGATATACCAGTAAGAGGACTCGTAAGGACTTTGCTGTTTTACCAAGATCGTCCCGTAATGCAGGTCAATCTTTTGATAACTGAAATAGCAAAGAGAGAATTTGATGGGATTTTAGGCTGTGACGCGCTTGATTCAGTTTGAGCTGTCATAAGCCTTAATCGGAATTGTGTTACACTGAATCAGATTTCTATTCCCATTTTTAATAAGGAGAATAAAAGTCTAAAGGCAAAACAAGTTCCCAGAGCCGACGAAAACTCCACTGAGAGTCTTTTGGTTATATCCAGTTAATACTGTAACGATCCCTGCAAATTCTCAATTGGCAGTAGAAGTCCGACCTAAAGAAAATATAGCTAAGGCCTTGGAAGATGGAACTATTTTTGTTGACCGCAAGATGGGCGGCGAGGTGATTGTAGCTCGAAGTCTTTCTAGAATAAAGGACTGAAGACTTTGGGTTATGTGTTTAAATGTAAATGCCAAACCTCTAGAAATTTCTTCTCGACTAACAATCGCGTCAGGTTCTATTAATGGGTTATTGGACATTTTCCGTCCCAGGTATGTATATAACATTAACAAGGGGTCCCGAAAAAAGAAAAAGAATATTCATGGAAAAGACGCCAATGAAGACATACCCAGTCTCATTGAAGAAAATTTGAACAACTCCAAATGTCCACCCAAATTCATCAATTGGGTAAAGCAAATGTTATTCAAACATCAGAAGGTACTGGCAAAAAAGTCAGACAGGTTGGGGCTTTGTACTCTGTACAAAGCAGATATCCCTTTAGATACAACTGTCCCCATTTACATGAGACAGTATCCCATTCCTTTTGGAATGCGCCCTCTCTTGGGGGAATACATTGAAGAACTTTTGGAACAGGGAATCATCCAGGCTTCTATGTCCCCTTACAATAGCCCCACCCTTATGGTGAAAAAGAAAGATGGAGGGTGGCGCATGGTCGTTGATTTCCGGAAATTAAACAAACATGTAATCACTGATCCGCACCCATTGCCGCGGATTAACCAAATTTTTGAAGAACTTGGTTCCGCAAGGTATTTCTCTGCTCTCAATCTGCTTCAAGGATTTGATAACCTAAAGATCCATGAGGAAGAACAAAGAAAGACAGCCTTCTCAACACCGTTGGGCCATTACAAATTTGTCAGATTACCAATGGGCCTAAAGAACAGCCCCAGCATATTCCAACAACTAATGCATGTCGTATTGGATGGCTGTTTAGGAGATTACGCCTACATTTATGTAGATGACAAGCTGGGGGTGCCCAGCCACACCTGGGCATTGGTCAGATTTTATTATATGTTAAAATTTTGATCAGATCACACATGGAAGAGAGCATGCCCAGTTGTGTGGCCCAGTCACATCTCTGTGCATTAAGTTCAAAAAAGTGAATGATACTAAAAAGGACCACTGGTAATTTTGTAATTGTGCTCAATGCGCCAGTTGTGGCCCGGTGGGCCACAACTGGCACATGAGCAGGGGGATTTTATTTATGCAAGAACGTTACAAATTTGGAGATTGGTTGAAATTTTTGAATTTTGGAAACATTTTAAAGTTGACAAAATGGAAGAAAATCAGA